AAGCATAGTTAAATGTGCAATGTGATAAACATGACATTTGAGGGGCAAAGTGATACAAAGCTCCTAGTTTGTGGGGGAAAGTGTAATTAACCCTTTGTTAAACTTGATTAAACAGTTAAAATCAATGTATTTCACAATAACTAAAATTAATATCTCTTTAATAACTAGAATTAATCTCTCCAATAGGGATGCAACTTCCTTCCCCATGCAATCCGTAATAGGATGGAGTCTTACACACTAGGTAAGACTTTTTTTTTTTTTTTTTTTTTTCATGATCATAAGATCTGACTAAAGGTTTTTATGTTGGTTTTCAGCTGTGGGCTTGGATCTCCCACCCCACCCCCCAACCCACATAATGTCACACATACTTGCACAAATGCCATACCAGTTGTTCTCCTGTTTCATCCAAAATTCCAGCCGCACTGGACCCGTAATTCACACCTTTAAGGATGTCTGAGCCGTTTGCTGTTGCAAATGGTTGGATGTAACTGTCAAAACCTAGAAGTTCAGCTGCAAGGTTAAGTGTTCAGTTAGAATGACATACCTCAAAACTTTATGAAAATTTGCAGCTTAAATGAACTATAAAACTGCATTAAATAGATTGAATTGTGTTAGCGTAACTATCATAGAAATTCAAGAAACCTCAGCTGTGAACAAAATAATCCACATGAATTTACACTTTTGCCCCCATCAAATATGCCCCCTATCTCATTTTGCCCCCCCCCCCCCCCCCCCCGAAAAAAAAAATAATATCACATTTCTTCTATTGCACATTCACCAATAAGTAGCACATTGCCCTCTTCAACTAGCACATTTCTTACATTGCACCTCGAACTATAGAGTTTGATCACACTGTTTCACACTGCCTCAATTAATTAGACATTGAAGACTTTTGGTTTACCACACATGTGGATATTTTATGTCTACAACATGCCGAGTGTTTGATTTTGGGGTCAAATAGTTGAGGGAGCAATATGAGAAACTCAATAGTTGAGTGGGCAAAGTGAGATAAGAGTCATTATTTTTTCTATGATAGGCATGTCAGTAAGAAAGTAGATTGGTCAAAATATTGATAAACACCTCAAGGGCTTGCTCAAGTAATAAGATGAATGAGCTTTAAATCTAGACATCCTAAGTTTGAATCTTAAAACCCTTTAAGACTAGGCCACGAGGAATTTATCCCTCATAAATACCCTAGTCCCGTATAAATGACTTACCTTTGATCGAACCTGAGAAAAGAATTAGTCGAGGTACGCGTAAGCAAGTTTGAACACCCTTGACCATTAAACCAAAAAATAGAAGAAGAAAACATTGACTGAGAAAGATTGAAAACTTGGATTTAAAAGCAACATGTTTTGTAAAATCACGTGGAGGGAAGTTAAGAGGAGACCAATAATGTCCGCCATGTTTCGACCGTTGGTAAATCTGCCAGTCTGCCCGTCGGAAAAATCAATTCCATAAGGTGGAAAGTTGGATTTTGCATGAGTGAGGAGGCCATTGTTATTGCCATTATCAACTAATGCGTCGCCTAAAATGAAGTAACAAGGGACATGTAGTTCACCATGAACAAATGGTCCCAGATTCAATAGCAGTAAGGTTGTGGATATCATATACCATATATTTACCTCACAGGCCATGGATGAAGAAAAGAAAATAAAGTACAAGGATGTGTGAATCATAAGGAACTGGAAGCCTATAGAGCTATCATATAGAAAAATGAAAATGTAATCCCAAAAGGGAAGCTGTAAGGCCTAAGATAAAGTGGGTATGGAGCCTAACAAAACCTAGCTAGTGGGCATGGGCAGAGCTACTCTAGGAACACCCCGTGGGGGGGGGGGGGGGGGGGGGGGGAGGGTGAGACCCACCATGATTTTTTTTTTTAAATAATAATTATAAATATATTGAAGTGTGTCTATTCTATAATTTTTTTGTTCTATCAATCCCATATTAAAATAATTATGGACTTTTGGACGTATTTTGAACACTTTATAGATACTTCTAGATATGTTTTTAAAATGTCGGACTCATTTTTTAAGTTATAGAGATTATGAAAACTAAGTTGTATAATTGAATGAGTGATTAAGGACTAATAGTTGGATTAGTTATATAGGCTCCTATTTTTTTTTTTTGGCACCATGTTTGTCGACATTTGGTTTATTTGTTTATAGCTTTCCTTAATGAAAGATGTCTTTTAAGTGTAATGAGCCTAACCGGGTCCAATCCTACGTAAGTAACTCCTAAGATCTTTATAGTTTAGGTACATTAACATAAATATTTGTAGTCGTCAACCTTCAGCTAAAGTCTAAATTGATGGAGTCGTGTATTGCTGTTGTGGGATCTCTGACCGTATCATATCAATAATAACATCTCTTAAGGTTTAAACAATTTATAATTACGTACATTTGGCTAAACATTTGGAGTCGTCACCCCTTAGCTAAAGTCTAAATTGATCCAATGGAATTAAAATAACACCTAACTCTACTAAATCCCTGAATTTAAACCCATACATATATATGGTGTAGTAGCTTCGCTATAATTACTGGATATTTCAAATCATGAAAATTTCATTATAATTTTTTCATTTTTTTTTCCAACAATGAATGATGCATTGATTACTCTGACGGAGTTCCTTGCCGAAGAGGAATTGGGCGAGATTGTTATATTAAAGTATGTTATACTCTTTTTGTTTCTTGTTATCTTGATTTTATTTTTGTAATTCTAATGTATTTTAACTTTGAGTAAGTTTTTGTAAGGTACAAACCAATGAAAATTTTAAAAATAGCTTCGTAAAACTTGCCTCCTAAGAATAATGATGAAAAATCTAATAATCAGCCAAAAAAAGATATATGTAGTTAAGGCTTGAGACCTTATGATGAATTGTTGTGCATTCCTATTCTTTGATGATGAGGCATTGTACACGTACAATTTAACGATACTATTATTAGAATGTTATTTTCACGTTTTTTGATTTAAAAATTATATCTTTAAAATTGAGTGTTTGTCGATTCATTAAACTATGACAAGTATGTGAAATTGAGAAACACTCAAAAATAAACTCTTTCAAATATTTATAGGTTTTTTTTTTTCATTTCAATGTTTTAATCTCGACAATAAGTTGTCACTAGCATGTTCCAAATTTTAGTGATGATTTTTTTTCCAGTAAATAAGGATTTCATTAAACTGAAAATGGATTTGTATGCAAAAGTATGTCTCATATACAGTTGACACCAATCAATAAAAGAAAAGGGACAAAAAAGATGGCATCTCTTCTTCTAGGACAAAAGGGATGGCAACTCTTCTTAACAGAACAGAAGAAGAGATACCATCCCAAGAACAAAAGTATACAAGATGAGAAACAAAAAGAAACAAGATGAAGCAAAGAGAACATATCAAGTTACTCCAACAAAGCCCAAAGCATCAGTAGTTCATCCAACCAGACAAGCCCACATTGGTATTTTAGTTGTGGGTAAAATGTATATTTTAGTTGAGATTAATTTTTGTCACTAAAAGTCAAGTTTTAATCGAACTTTTAGTGGCGATAGGATACATTGTAGTGGCAAAATTATTGTAACTTGCTACAATAACTATTGTGGCTAAATATTTCACATTTAGTAACATTTTAAATGCAGTAGTTAAGGACCACCACCAAACCCTCCATCCTCACCTCCACCACGATCACCAGCTCTTCTACCAAACAACCACAACTAGATTTCCCCTCCAAAACTTGATCCACCTAGCCTACCCCCAAATCCCCCACCACAACTAGATCTACTGCTAATACTCTTCCACACCACCACTAAGCTCTTAACTTTCACCTCCACCAACCACTACTATCACCCAACCCACCACCATCACCACTAGATTCCCCTCCATCCTCACCTCTCTCTGTTTTTTTTCTTAACTCATCTCCCTTCTTCTTCCCTCATATGGATTCTTTGAAATGGCGGCTTCCAAATCTGCAGCTGACCAAGCCTTTGCAATTACCAATCTGGAGATTGTTATTGGTAATCAGAAGAACAATATCCTTCATGAAAGCAGTTCACAGCTACTAAGCAATGCCATAGCAATTGCGCCCATTGCTATGAGTCAAGCACCGAGTTCATCCCACGTTGTTCATGGTGAAAATTCAAAAAATGAAAACCAGAACATGCCTACTAGTCAAGGACAAAACAATTGCTTTTCCCAGAAGGAGTGGGATGGGCAAACCCACTTTGGATCCTAACAAACGCAACTCGTGGTCACAAGTGGTTCAGAACCCAAATGGAACCAATTCCATTCCAATGTAACATAAACACCCCCCACGAAACTAAAGTGCTTGAAACCCAAGTTGAATGAAAATAGAATTCTTGTTTCTCCCCTGGAGAGGTTGCTTGCAAAGGCTATTGTAATTGGGGAAATACACTCATGGGATACTTTGTGGAGAAAAAACTTCCATACTCAGTTGTTAACGGTATTGCCCACAAGCATTAGGACAAACTTGGTTTAATAGTGGTTTTGGCAAATAACAAGGGATTCTTCTTCTTCAAGTTTTCTTCTAAGCAGGAATGTGCTAGAGTGCTTGAGATGGCCCCATGGATTCTTATGAGCAGACCACTAATTCTCTAGAAATGGCAGCCAAATATGGAGCTCACATAGGTCTCTCAAACTATGATTCCTGTATGAGTTCATTTACACAATATACCATTGGAATATTGGACTGATGAAGGCCTAAGCTATGTTGCTAGTGCAGTGGGCAAACCATTGTATGTTGATAAACTAACGTAGCAATGCAACAGACTCAGTTACGCAAGGATTTGTATTAAAATAGATGCAACCCATGATCTTATAGATTCTTTTGATCTTAGCCTGGGTGATTCAAAGTTCATGGAAATTAAAGTTGAATATCCTTGGAAGCCAAAGGTATGCCATGCTTGCAAAGGCTTTGGACACTCTATAACATCTTGTTCCAAAGCATCGCCCAGCAGAGAGTACCTTCTCAGCAGGTTGCACCTCCCCAATAGGCAGCACCTAAGGAGACTTGGCAAACTGTTAAAAGCCATAAGACAGCAAAAGAGGGGAATTGGAAGGGGAAAGAAGTGGTCTCTTTCCCTCAAGTGGTTGATCAAAATCCTATAAATCCTCATGCAACAAGCAATCTGCCATCTAGTAGTAGCCACTCCAAACCCACTAGTGATACTCATGTTAATGATACTAACTTTGTTGAAGCTGTCCCAATTGATACTCAGATCCTACAAACCAAACAACAAGTCTCTTGCCCTGAAGTGGGCAAAGAAGTCCTTGAAGTCATGCCAGTTGAATCCCCCAACAGATTTGCTGAATTGAATAAGGAAGAAGACAGTCCTCCAAATAACTGCAGCCCTTCCACATGTCAAGAGGAACAGGTATCGACTTCATTCTCTGATAATTCTTTCCTCAAAGATTTGGTATCCTCTAAAAGCAAGAAGAAAAAGAAGAAGAAGCATTTCATAAGGTCAGGTAGCACTAAGCTATCTGGGTTTCTAACCCAAAATCCCCCCAAATCCTAATGATCAATATAGGATGTTGGAACACTAGGGGTCTCAATTCCTCTATTAAAAAAGGAGAGGTAAGGAAGCTAATTTTTGAAACTCATCTTGACTTAGTGGGCATTGTTGAAACTAAAGTCAGGTATATTAATAAAGATGAAACCATGAGGTTCACATTTAAAGACTGGGAATATATGCATAACTATTATAGTCATCATTTTGGAAGAATATGGGTTGAATGGAACCCATTGGTCCTTAGACTCCATAAATTGGAGGAAATTGAGCAAATTATCCATTGTTTTGTCACACACATAGACAGTAACACCACTTTTGTTATACCTTTTAGTTATGCATTTGATGATGAGAGAGATAGAAAGCCTCTATGGAGACACATAACTTATCAAGCCTAAGTATTTGTGAATAAGCCATGGGCTTTATTGGGTGATTTTAATGCAATCAAAACCTTCAGGAGACCTTGGGAGGTACTAAGAATTGGAATCAGTCTATGTATGATTTTGACAATTGTATTCAATGTACAAATCTAAGTGACCTTAGATTCATAGGTCTTCTTTACACTTGGTCAAATAATAGGAATCCTGGACAGTGTGTCGTAAGGAAACTTGACAGAATCTTGACTAATGATACTTGGAATCAACTCTTCCCAGAAGCTATGGCTGAATTTCTCCCATTTGGTCTATCAGATCACAGTCCGGGCATTCTCAGAATGGGTGTGTTAAGGAAAACTAGGAAATGTCCATTCAAATTTTATAACCACCTCACTCACAGAGATTACTTCCAGCAAATTGTCTCTAACATATGGACCAAACTAGTTTTGGGCACTCTTCAATTCCAAGTCTTCACCAAGTTGAAAATGCTTAAACAGGCTTTCAAGGATCTAACCAAACCCCAAAGTGAGAACGTTACCATAAGGGTCCAAGCCTCTAAGATGGAGCTTGACAAATGTCAAAGGCTTTTACGCTCTTTTCCTATGAATGCAGCCCTGAGATTTCTTGAGAAACAACTCCTCCAGGATTATATTATTGCAGCAAAAAATGAGGAATACTTTCTAAGGCAAAAATCAAGAGTTTAGTGGCTTTAAAGATGGAGATCAAAATTCAACTTTTTTCTTCAAAACCATAAATTCTAGAAGAAACAGAGATAAAATTCTATCTATCACCAGAGTAGATGAGACTACATCCAATGAGTCTGAGGAGATCCAGCAAATTGTTATCCCCCATTCTTGACAATAGTTTTTCATGTGCACAATACAGGTATAAGGAGCTTCATAACCTTCCATATGTGGAGACAACTTTCAGATAACCAAGTTTTGCATTTTTATATTCTTGTCACTGAGGATGAAATCAAGAGGGCAACTTTCTCTATTTACCCCCAACAAAGCCCCAGGTCCTGATGGGTTTAATGGTCATTTTTATAGAGCTGCTTGACCTACTATTGGTGAAGATATTTGTGTAGCAGTCTTGGAATTCTTCACTAGAGGGGAATTCTTCACTAGAGGTCAATTGTTGAAAGACCTTAATAATACCATCATTTCCTTAGTTCCTAAAGTCCATAACCCTTTTAAGATTGAAGACTTTGGACCAATGTCATGCTGCAACACTCTTTATAAAATCATCTCTAAGGTTATAGCTTCTAGAATTAAGGAGGTGCTCTCTGATATTGTTTCCCATAATCAATCAGCTTTTGTACCTGTAAGAAGTATAGGGGATAACATTCTCCTTGCACACGAACTTATGAAGAATTATCACAAGAATATGGGATTGGCCAGATGTGAAATAAAGGTTAATCTAATGAAGGCTTTTGACATGGTTGATTGGGATTTTGTGATCTTCACTCTCAGGAGATTTAACTTTCCATCCAATATGATTTCTTAGATCCATGGTTGCATCACAACACCAAGATTTAGTATCAACCTTAATGGGGAGTTATTTGGGTTTTTCCTAGCAAGCGGGGTATTGGACAGGGCGATCCTCTTTCCCCTTATCTTTTTGTCCTCATCATAGAAGTTTTTACTCACATTCTTAAAGCTGAAATTGCTGCTTCAGATTCTTTTAAGTACCACCGGAGTCTTCAAGAATGAATTTAGGGATGCAACTACCATTTTGAAGTCCATCCTTCATGTTATTAGCAGTAAACTTCTCACTGCCAACTTCAAACAATCCACCCGGAATATTGCTTTTCTCCAGCATTGGAACAATTCTATGTCTAATGCTTGAACCTCTAATCTTCCATCATGAATGCTCTGAATTGCCATAAGTTCTGTCACAAGGCAGAACTTATAGCAGTTCAGGTGCTTGGCCACTTCTTTTGTTTTTTGGTCTCTTTGATAAACATTCTTTACATGTACATGTAATTTTGCAAAGATGAATATATTTTACTTTCCCAAAAAAATGTAGTAGTTAAAAAATTTACTTTTAGTGGCAATAAATTAAATGTTGCATCTAAATGATTTAACCATGGCACATATAGCCACGGCTCAATGACAATACAAAAGTTGTCACTATAATTATAGTGACAATTTTTATAAATTTAGCGGCAACAATTTTCGCGGCTAAAAGACCAATTTTTTGTAGTGATTTTAGTGTTCCTCTCACGGTACATCCCCTCTAAACAAAAACTAACAAGCCTAATTCCCCCAGCTCCCATTTAAGACATAATCCCTAGGCTTTGATACGAATTGTCACGTCCCTAACTTTTAGTCCTAAATTTTATAAATTTGATACAAAAATTTTCATTGGTTTAAAAATAAATATCAAGAAAATAGTCATTTAGTTTAATAAAGTTGGTTTATCAAAAGTCCAGTGGAGTTTGGTTTAATTGGGTACTCAACTAAATGGTATGAGTAATTCTTATATGAACCAACTAAACATTCATATCATCCATTAGACAAAATATTATAAACCTTCTAACTCAAAATTTTAGAGCATCTAATCCAAATTCCAAAGCAAAATAGTTAATAACCAAGGATTACAATCCAAGACTCAAATACGATTGTAATCTAATATGATTAAACTTTGTAACCTTATTCAAAACAGGAAAGAACAATTTTACTGAGAATCTAGTTCTCCATCCTCGGCCTCATGACCCATGTCCTGATCAGGCTCAGGATTCACCTTGTAATCAACATCGAAACCTATGTTAGTTTCCACACTTAAATCCAAAAAAATGTTAAGTAAGAAGTGAACACAATTAGTCCAGTACAATAATCTTTCCCAAGGGTCAATTTACATTCTGAATATACCGTTCAAACATTAAAAAGTCGTCCCTAGACTGATTCTTAAACATGTCCATGCTAATGATGTACTAAGATGCTGTTTAGATATCAGTAATATTAACCGGGAACGAGAGCTATATTCTTAAATCTCTAAATTACCGTGTTTGGATGACCAACTAATTGTTAATCCAAGCTAAAAATAATATTACTATTATATTGAAATTCCTAATAATGGTGAGTATCCTGAAGTCGTAGTCAATATTGGTAGTCTCATTTCCACCTCTTTTACCAAAATCAAGCTCCTGTATGCTTATTTTTACAAATAAAAATTGAAATCCATATTATAACATTTTTGCGCTACATTAAAGATCACATTAACTCTCTCAACAAAACCTTGTCTCAATATTTGTAGAACTGACACATTATTGACCACACCACGAGGCTAAATATTAGTAAACATATTAGCATCATTATTGCATAGCGACGTGGTTATTTTATTATCTTAGAGGGTAATGTTTTCAAGTCAAAGAAACACTCTTTGCTTGCCCAAATAAGACACGACATATCTAAGCTCTCTGGCCTTCACACTGACATGAGTCTCGTATATTAGACTTCATTTTTATTAGACAAAGGTGATAGCTATTAGCAACACACATCGTAACAATCATTATTGGCATCCCACCACCACTATTGTCATCGCCAACAACACAACTGTCACCAACACTAAAACATCATCGCCGTCGGTGCCAACATAACACACCACTCCCCCCCCCCCCAAAAAAAAAAAAAAAAAAAACCAATCTGTGCAATATAATATTTGTTATTTAAGTCTCTTGTGGAACATGTATAGAGCACTTATTCAATAAAAAGCCATATTCTTATAATGTATATTTAAAATAGTATCTTTGGAGTTACATAAGTGTTTTCAAACACCTCCTTAATTGGTCAAGCTTATTTTTACAGTCAAAGCATTTATTGCGAAACTGGAAATAGAAAGCCTTAGAACAATGCTTTATTGTACGTCATAACGTAATCAAATCCATCACATTTGAGCCAGGCGACGAATATCATATGGATATGCATCACTTGGTAACAGAGCATTGTATGATCTTCCTGCCATGACCAGATTCACAAGCTCAACAGGATGAAAATTGTCATAGAAAACGTACTTGGTCCTGTCCCTGCATGGAACACTTCCAGGAACACATTGTCCCTTCGCAAATGTTGTTGATACTATGCAACATGGAGCGTTTACAACTGTAATTCCTGATTGATATAAGAAGTGACAGATTATAGTTATTCGAAAGAAAATAACTTCTCCAGTTTCTTATGTTTGAACATAAATGCATGAACAAAAATGGAATTGTGCGTTTCTTTTATAATGTTTTGTTCTGAAAAAGGGAAGAGTGACACTCTAGACACATGCCCCGGTACAAGTATTCTAGTGAATAGTTCTAAATCCAATTAAAATTTGGGTTATATTTGGATCATAGTCTAGGTTTCTCGTAATCTAGCCCAAATTAGTGAATTCAAGTGAATCAAAACTGAACATAAAATCTAAACTTGGGTTGTGCAATGCGATAATCAAAATTGAGTTCAACTCGAACTGAACCTGAACTCAATCCTTAGTTGTATAGTCAATAATTAGACCCGAACATGATCATGACCTAAATATTTAACCTGAGTTCGGTCATAATTAAGCAAGTTAAACATGGGCAATATTGGAATTGTAGGGTTTCAAGTTGAGATCGGGTTTGGATTGAACTTGGATTTGGAGTTCATGTAGTGCGATCATGCAGAACTCCAAGAAGAAGACCCAACTAATTTTTTAGGTCGAGTCCCCATTTACCTATCAACCACCCTACCAACACAAGTTTCAATCTTGTGTTTTTTTCTCCTATCCTACTATTGTTATTTCCATTTCCATTTAACCCGCGATCCAAACACACTTATTGTTATAGCCCTTAGCCACTAGACAACCCACAACTCTAGTAAACAAGAATTGTAATGAAAAAAAACTCTTTTCTAGAACTTGATGAAAAATTACCAATAACTGAAGGATCCCCAGATGAAATGCTGGTGGTATTGATATAGATGAATTTTGCATCAGTTAGATTGCTATTGAGTTCATCAACCAGTGGCTTTAACCTGTCATTGAAGAGTTGGACTTGGTTGTTTATCGTATCCACGCATGCAGAACTATTTGTGCCATACATACCCAACTCCGCTGGAATGCAACCTATCAAACCAAGTCCGAAAATGGCGATTTTTCTTGCTCTGAGCTTATACAACGTCTATCATCAAGAGAAACACAGTTGTTAACAATCACATTTATTACATTACACCTTCAACTACCACAATTGATTTTACAATCTGTAACTGGGTATTTTACTGTGGACATTTTTCGTCCAAAACATGATAGGACATTTTTGTTTGGAGTAATTTGAAAGTATTTTTGGTACAATGTGAGAGACTTAGTCAGTTTTGAGGGCAAAGCGATATAGACTTCATAATTAAGGAGGTCAAACGATAATTTGTGCACATATATAAGTAATTTGGACGTTTTCAAAATGAGATTGCATACTGGTATATCTAAATGTAGACCGTCAAATGTCATGCAACTGAACCAAACTTGATCAAAAAAATTAATACATATCCGACAAATTGAACGTGGCTTTGGACCGTATCCTTATCAAAATTCTGATTTTTATGATCAGCACAACATATAAGTAGCAAATTTAATACTGACCGTCAGCTGCTGCTTGTATTGATCAATAAGGACTTGGGCAAACTCATCTGGCGTATATTCACGACTTGTAGGGTAGAATTGGGGCATTAAGTAGTTGTTGATGTAATCGTTATTGCCCATTCCAACAGTATATATGCACTTGGTTAGGTACTCGTTAGCGGCAGTTTTGTTTCCTAGTAACGCGGTGATACGAGCAATTGTTACTAGATGATTAAGTAACTGTACATTCAGGCTGATCCGACCACCCTGCGAGGAAACAAGAAAAATCATGTTAGAGTATAGCTCCTCGTGAGGGAAATAATTCTTTGACCCGCCTCAACCATGAAGTCTGTCTCACATTTCCTTCTCAACTATCATCTTCCATACATTGCATATTCGAATATGGCTAATATTCTTATATTCAACCAATGATTAATGTCCATTAGAATTTTGATTAAAAAAATATACATTTTGATTTACCCGAACTATGAGATTTTGTTTCACTTGCCCCTACACGGGAACTTTTTCCTTTAGAAAAATGGACTTTTGTGTTTAGGGCAATTTAAAACAAATTTAAGTTGTTGAGATGGTAATGTGAGAAATTCAGTAATTCAAATACAAAATAAGACCGAGGCTACATAAATACTTTGATGATTCATTATAAGCGTTGACTTTAGATTTTTATAGTTTAATGGTGGGTTTGAGTTGAAAAGTTAACTTTTTAAAGTAGTGGCAAGACTATCTATTATTTATCGTTCTTCAACCCTATTATGTATCAATGTCTTATGTACTAGTTACAATATTTTAGATTTGAGCTAACAAATTAGCCAATATGATTCTCCTTCTTCTAGGCTTGGCATACAGTATCAGCAACACACTTCCCCCACACCTCTCTCACATACACAGAGGGATAAGTCACAATAATAAACAACATTACCAGTTGTATGCCAGTTTCATCTCGAATTCCGGCCGCACCAGATCCGTAATTTACCCCTTTAACGATGTTTGAGCCGGTTGCTGTTGCAAAGGGTGGAATGTAACTGTCAAATCCTAGAAGTTCAGCTGCAAGATTAAATGTTTAGTCAGGATGGCAAACTTTGAGGATTTTATGAGATTTTGCATCATGTTTTACTTAAAAACCAACATTGCACCATAGTATTCTGCTGCACTTCATTAGTCTCTTGACCTTTAGGAGTATAAATTCAATTTGAAGTTGCAATTTCATGTCCAATACAAGCACTCAAATGTCTTCATTGTATTACTTGAAGTGTCTTGAACACAAAAACCTAGTATGACACAATTCCATATTGCTTGCGGAATTGAGTGTGTAATGTCACATATTATGAACTTTGAACCTTTACTATGCAACACGCTTTAAAGTAGTGCAACCTATTCCAAAGTAAACAATATTGTAGAATCGGGTATAGAGTGCTACAATTGGTATCATAGCCAATGACTCTCAGGATGTGGAGGTCACCTACGGTTTTGCATCCCTTTGAGCACACTGATTCGGTGAGGCTGTGGGTCAGGATGGTGACAACTGACATGGTGGGAGTAATACCTTGGAAGCCCACATCACCTGGATGTTTGGTCTTAAGAGGGTGAATTTTGAGGGCCCACTCTCACATCGATTGGTGACATGGGCATAGAGACGAATACGTTTAAACTTTGTACCTTCATTGTACAACTAGTTTCGAAGCTGTGCAAACCTAATTTGAAATGGACAATACTGTGCAATACACGTCCGGAAGTTACAAAAATTATAAGAAAAACAAGAAAATTTTTAGGGCTAGCAGTTGTGAAGAAAATATCCATTGAATCTTATATAAAGAGCCTGCAGAAAATAAATCTTATGACAGGCTTTTGCATAAAGAAACATGTTGGTCTAAAATAATTGGGATGCAACAAATTAAACATTTTGACATATTTTGTAAAAAAAAAATGGAGGAAAGTAGAGAAGGAGACCAATAATATCGGCTATATTTCGACCATTGGTGAATCTGCCAGTTGGGCCACCAGGAAAATCAATCCCGTATGGTAGATAGTTGGCTTTTGCTTGCGTCATAAGGCCATTATTGTTGCCATTATCGACTAATGAGTCTCCGAAAATGAAGTAACAAGGGACTTGTGGTTCACCACGAAAAGATGGTAGCAAATTCAGTAGCAATATAGTTATGAACACCATATACACCATCTTAACTCGACAGACCGTGAGTGAAAACAGGAAGAAAAAAAAAATCAATTAGAAGAAGATGCTTATGGAAAGTTATGTTTGGGTGTCAAGTATTGGAAGCCAAAAGAGGGATTATATAGTGGAAAATATTTATTTTCAAAAGAGGAAGCTGTTAGGCATTAAGAGCAAGTGGGCATAGATTATGAAGCCTAGTAAAAGCAAGTGGGAGTAGAAAATTTTGCATTGTAGTAGTGATAGAGTGCCCATTATTTTGAATGGATGGGGCTATTCCTACCCCATAAATATCAATTTTCACCCCCATTAAAATTTTTATTTTCAAACAACTAAGCCCACCCTATCTTCAGTTTAATAAATTCACCACATGCTATATACACGTCTTTAATAACAAGCTCACCTATCTTCTCATAACTGGAGTTTCATTTACCATTTTCTCTCTTACACCCTACACAAACGAATTTTTCAATATGGATTGATTAAGTAAAATGAGAACACCACTTCTGTATCTATACATTATCCAAACATATTCTAGCTTCTGTCAAAACGAACTCCTTTTGATTAACATGAAGAGTAGTAACTTGTGTTGTTATAGTGTTGGAAACAATATTAACTTCTTTTTGAATGGACACAAACTAGATCAAAGAAATTTGCTAAGTATATCTATGAGAATAATTTATATGTACAATTATAAGTAATCAGTGATTACAATGCTTCTGATATGGGCGAAATTCAAGGCTTGGGCCTCCATAGCCCAGAAGCCTAACAAGCCCAAAAGCCAAGAGCAAAGAAAGAAGGATCCAACATCAGCAGAAGACTAAAAACCTAGCGATCCAGGACCAGTTCAATCAATGAACAGCCCAAAGATTGAAAGCATAATCCAAATGTCATTTTTGGGTCACTCGTGGGGACCACACATCCTAAGGGTCCAGGGGACCATTCCTAACACCTACGATAATCTCAGAGCAGAGGAGGTGGAGCACCCAACCACCAGAAAACATGGCAACAGAGGCGCCAAATAAACAGGGGCGCCGGATAAACTGTGATCATGGTGATAGAGGAAGCAGCAAAGGGCAGAGAGAAGGACTCGCAGGATCAGCATTAAGAGAAGAACAACTAAAAACCCTAAAGGAGATCCTAATATAAATAAAAAATGGTAACCCAACAAGAGGGGACTCTCTTCCTTCCCCTGTAAGCGTTGGCAAACTAAGAAAAACCAGTAGACAAAGCTAAATACTCACTCTTTGTAAAGGACCACGTGTCCCCAATTGTTGTGCGTGCATCTCTGATCAAGTAATAAATGATCAAAAAGAGCATGAGACTCCCTTGGTAGTGGACGTAATTTTAG